GGTCTCCGGTAACCTTAGCCACCCATATGAGCTGGTAGTTTAGATGGGACTATGGAAGCTTGGGACAGTGGCATCACGTCGACAGAGACGATTAGGTAGATGAGGAGTAAACATGCTCCACGAACTGGTGACTTAGAAAAATTAGGCCTTCTGGAGATTGAAGTACCGTTAGTCTTTGTGGGGAACCACAGCAAATAAATAGTCATCTAGTATAAAAAATGGGCAAAAACGTATGGATGGGCGGGAATCCAAAATAGTTTTCTACAACACCTGACCTTGAAATTTTGCTCGCAACCTAGTACTCCCAGCAGTTGTGGTTGTAGTCGTGGTATTTGTTGTTCTAATACTATCTCTAATCAGTACGTTTTGAAAGATGTATCCAATAGGGATCGAGATTCTTTAAGGTCGCTCTTCGACCCTTTCCCAGTTTCGGGTAGATTCCTTCAGAAGATACCCTACAAACCCTTGAATTTGGACCAATAAGCAAACTGTATTTGCACCAATCGGACGGGGCGTGAATTCGACCAATGGATAGTCAATATTTCACCGAACTGTCACTTTCCGCATCAGGAAATACGCCGGTTGCGGAATGCCGGCTCCGCGGGACAGGTGTCAGGCTTTGAATAACAGTATCAGGTTATTTAGGAAGAAGAGTGCGTTCAGTACTTCTCGGAGAATCCTTCAAAAGTCAAGTGAGTATCATGGCTTCACTTGTTTCTGTGGGCTAAGCCCATTCAACGGAAAGTATCCCCGTGTCGTAGATTTTCACGCCTTCAGTGCATTCTGATTGAGTTGTTTAAGCACATATGAAATCGTCTTTATGTGTTAGATCTTAATGAAAAATACCTCTTGAATGCAGATATTTGCGTGGTTTAGTCTTCGCAACCGGACACCAAAACAGAGCTGAGGCGGAATGCTTACCTCTTGGACTTGATCAGCAAGAGCAGGTGTCGCTTTTGAAAATCTCCGTCTTAAACTCACGGTGTGATGGTGTTATCTGTAAATAGCAGACGCGAGATGTATTACGAGTTTTCGACGCGCACCCCTGCGTTGAAGACACCGTTTTCCGGAGTAGAGAGAGAATAGCTGACAAGTAGTCAGAACGCTGCTCCAGATCTGCATTAACAGGTCCCATGCACAACGAAAGAACGAGGATTCCTTGTGACAAAGGGCCGTTGGTCAAGAGATGTCGGTTGCTGTACTACCTCTGGCTTCTGCTGGATTCAGTGCATAAATTTCGAAGAACCGAATTCCAAGTTGCGTCACTTGCGACGCCAACCGGAGACATCACTTCTACTGAGGATCACTTATAGTAAGCCATATCAAGGTCTCTTGTGTTGTTTGGTCGGGAGAATGTCAGCTTATCAAAGTGTGGCGGCTTGTGTACTTTTATGGCCCATTTAGCTATACTGTGACACCCGCAGAGTTCCTTTTACCAGGTTTGTCAGTGGATAGAGGCCTGGCGAGCACTCTCCTGATCTTCCAATTTCGGGTTCGGAATAGGCAAACGGTTCCCAGGCCTGAAAATTGGTTTCCTTCCCGTTGGTGATTGGCGGTATAGCGTCATGGACAAGTTTCAACTGTCTGTTCATCATAACATCTACTGGGGATGGACCGTCCGGAGTCTGTGGGTTATGGGTTGCTCTATAATTCAGCAGTAGCGTATCCAGAACTGATGCCGTGGTCCCTCCCCCCTTCTGCTTTTGTCAGCGCGCGTCAAAAGGTATCTACGAACCGTTCAGCTTGCTCGTTGGATTAGGGATGGAATGGTGGAGCAGTAGCATGTATTACGCCGTGTCTTCGAACGTATTCGCCAAATTGATGGACTTTGAACTGAATGCTGTTGTTGGACGTATAATACCGAATACTGAAAACAAATACCGCAGTTTGGTGATGGTTGCCATCGTTAATATCTTGGACGTCACAGTCTTTGGGTCACTCCCCGAATATATCAGCAACAGCGACAAAGCTTTGCACGTTATCGGTCCGGCAAATTCTATAAAAAGGCACTACCGTGGTTTTCCTAGCTGGCCAAGGCGCGGCTGGTTAACTTCTGGGCAGCCGCACATCGGAAACAAATCCGAGATACCTGCTCCACGTGCTCATGCATACCAGGCCAATAAACATATCTGTCAGCAAGGGCCTTCATGCGGCTTATCCCATTGTGGAACTGTGCTAGGGCCCGGTGGCGAAGTTCGCCGGAAATGACAGTTCGGTCACCAAAGAGAAGACAACCACTGATGAAAGGTAGTACACTTCGTCTTTGAAGGAAGTTTCTGGAGTTCTCCTGATGGACAGGTTGTTGGCCAGATGGATTGATCTTACTCCATTACCTTCTGCAGTTTGCTGCCATTTTTCAATGGCATCGCGGACCGTGTCGAAAGTCGCGGGTAGCTGGTTCATGGTCTCCAACATCACAGCACGGACTTCTGGTTCGATGGCAACGGTTGCTATGACTGCGTCTTCTGCTTCCAACTCATGGGAAGTAAATAAGCGCGTTAACGCATCGGCCTGCCCGTTCTTCTCGGTCGAGGCAAACTTTGTGGTAAAGTTGTAGGCCAGCAGAATCGGGCGAGATCGTTCAATGGTTGGAGCGCGAATTTACTAACTGGAAGGTCCGTGATTCGAACCCTACCTCTCAACTTCTCCTGTCTAGGCTCGGACAACATGGAAGTATCGCATCCCTCGTGTTTCCTTCTGGTGCGTGTAACATCCGAAAGGGTATTACAGCTGAACGATTTATTTATTTTTATTAGAACCGTGCTTCGTCGTTGCCCGCAGTTGCTTGTGTAGACTGGAATACCATTCTTGGGACTAAATATAGCCGACAGTGGTATATGGTCCGTCACCAGCACGAAGTGTCGGCGTTTTTGTGGAGAGTACATCGTGTCTCCCGGAAGGAACGGGACTGCCTGTTTGCTAACTTGACATAAAGTGCGGGCTTTGGATGCTCCTATGTAGAAAGGATCTCGTGAGTTCAGAAAAGTGTGATTTCCTCTATTGTTGTTGGGCAGCGGGGTGTATAAAACACATAGGTCAGATAACTGGCGATCAGCTGACCCGGCAGCGTTTCTTTGTATAGTGGGTAGGGATTGGGGACGGAAAAATAAATGTGTGGACAAATAACACTTCCCGGTTGCTCATGTCAGATAAGGGGATTTCGTTGATGTACCTCACCTTGAGCCTCTGACTCAAAAGCCTGACCCGTGAGGCTGCGGGCAGTAGGATTTCTTTGGGGAGCCTGCCAAAATCCGATGACTTGATAGTCTAACTTAGCTGAAGGGACTGGCCTAACCGGAGGACACAGGGAGTAAGACATTGCTTTCTGACTCCTAATGCGGCCGCCACAGTAGATGCCTCCTGAAAAGCACCAAACTATCGTTTTAGGGGCGTTTCGACCGCATTCCCTGGTGTGCCAGTGGTCACGGTCAATTATTGGACGATCGAAGTGAGTGGTTTTTAGGTTCGACCTCTTCTAACCCGTTCTTTCTCGGAGGAAGACAGTGTCGCTGCCTCCGTAAATATGAACATGCCGGCCGCCTGTGGGAAACGCCTTACTGTCCTGACACTCCCATCGCACAGCACGCTACGACTTTAACCCCAAGTCATCTTGTAGTGCGATTACTCGTAGCACGGGGTCTCGGTGCTCATAGTCTGACTTCTCTCCTTTGGCCTTCCTGGCAACTTTTAGTCGAGAGCTATCCAGGAAAGGAGGACGTTTGGACAACCTGGCTCAATATTTCGAAAGGAGTTCATTTGGTTTCCTAGTACCTCCGGTCCGGACTGCCGGCTTTTAACAGAAATGTGGGTTGTAAACATGGAGCCCGCTTCAATCTCAGAAATGTCCGTGTGTGTATCGCTGCTTGGAAGTAAAAATTTGGGGAAATCCCGGCTTAGGTCAGAAGCGAAATATTTATCATGCATGGAGAAAGCAGTTCACAAGGTCAAATTTTCGTTCGATACTCTCATGGCTGATAGTTGTCAAGTTAAACGATCCGTCTCGTATATTGGTGAGATATGGCTTTTCTATGTCTTTTTGACTTACTACGGCGACTAATACTGTCCCCATTCACTCTCAGTCCACTCGATTTTGTGGAAGCAACCACTGGTTCCAAATGACCATCACCCTTTGCCTGACCGAACTTCTGCCCTCTTGATTCTTTCCCAAGACGGCAAACTATGAAACTTCCTCCACCCTTCATCTTCTACACCGTGAACCTTTCCGCAGCCCATGAGTTTAAAGCACGTAACATCATGAGTGTGTTTCTATTGCGCTGTATTCACGCCAAATTTTTGTTCTCTGCCGGAAGTCTCTTTAAAGACCAATCCTCCCTGAAACTTAAATTTACAGACCGTCCCCTGTGGATAGCCTCCTGTTACGGGAGTGGGTGTACTTCATCCGTAGGAAGTAGTCACTCTTACTGTCATTTTTTCATCCTCTAGACTCCTCAAATTTCTGTGATCTGGTGATTGTTTTTTCTGCCCCATTAAGTAAATGCTAACCAAATATCTTTTTCTGATCGCATTCTTCAGTCAATCGTTCAATTTGTGCGGCCTCGTTGAAGAGCAATAATGCATTGTTGGACAAGCGCGTGGCTGAGTTGCAAATGGAAGTGAATGCTGAGCGAACGGCGAAGTTTGCCGCTCAGATGGAGACATGCAACTTACGTGTCGAACTAGCACGGTTGCGTGCACATCTGGAGGCGTTGGACAAAATCAAGGTGGGTTGTGGACCGCGATTATGTATGTTGCCTGATCCAGCTTTTATTCGTGTTGTCATCTACGTAGATGGTTTCCCACAGTGGTCGATGAACCGCTTTTTTTCAAACACAACCCCTTTAGGAAAACCAGCTCAAGCTTCATGAGGTGATCGTCTCAATGTTTGGCGCTGGCATGGCCATAATGCGCTCTGTAGGTGAAGCTCCTCCCCTGCCATCAGACGGCATAGGAATCTCTGACCAAACCGCCTGGGGTACTTCGAATGTTCTGGCAGACACAATTGTGGACCAGTTTGCCGTGGACCGTGTGTAAGTCTTACTCGCTTGTTGTCTGTGGTCTCCTTTGAACTGAGCCCTTCGTGAATAAAATGAGTACAGAACTCCGTCTTTCTGAAAACCCTGAACGTAGCGACGCCCTCTCTTGTATGGCGCAAGTTTCTACCCCCAGTTATCTATGTGTACTTTTCTGTCAAGACAACTCCAAAAATATGACAGCCAGCGTATCAAGTTTTGAAGAACAAGCGTTTTCCCTGCTAACGAACACAGATGACAAAACAACAAAGGCAAGCTAACTCAGAGGCGATTTCTCCAAAAGGTGCATAGTGAATGCAACAATGAAAACAATTATGGTAGTAATACTCCTCATCTATATCTAAGGTACCTTAGTCTTGCGCACGATTACACCCATCCCACCTCCCTATGTCAAATATCAATTGTGGCGTGCCGTGTAGTCACCATAGGGCAACTGCTCATGCACTTGCAGGCTACATGCTATTTCTAGATGGACCAAGTGGTTAGAGAGCGAATTTACTGACCGGAAGGTCCGTGGTTCGAACCCGACCTCTGCCACTCAACTTCCCCTGTCTAGGCTTGGGCGACCTGGCAGTATCCCAGCCCTCGTACCTCCTTCGTGTGGCATGGCAGATAGGCACCGAAAGGGTGCTACGGCTACATGCTATTTCGAGCCCACAAGG